CTGCTGGGGCCACCTTTCTTCTGGGATGACACTGTCTCCAGAATAAATATTATCACCTCTCTCCCCCCAGATAAGAGCCCCGACCCCCAAACGACAGGGATGGCCCACGTGGGAAACGGAGCTGGGGCAGGAGAGTAAATCCGTTCCCAAGAGGGGACAGGGAAGGAAGAGGGAAAATGAGGGTGGCGGGAGAGACAGGGCATCGCTGTGAGCCGGGGATGGCCGAGCAGAAGCCACAGACTGGCGAGCGTGTCCTGAGTGTGGGGCTCCGGGCCTGGTGGGCGCTCTGCGGCCCAGGCCAGCGGGGTGGCTTTGCTGGCCACCTTGCACCCTGCATTTGGGATGCCCACCCCCACACGGAGCTGGACAGAGAGGTCATTAGGAGGACGAGAATGTTCCAGGAAGTCGTGTGCTCCAGTCACCCCCAGCCTCCCAGGCCCCAGAGTGACCCCAAAAGAACATTCTGTCTTTGGGCTTCCAAGTCCTGATTTGGGGCACTGATTCTTGGCTAACCGGCGAGGGTACTTTTGGTTGTCTCAACGATGGAAGTCAGGACACTCCTGGTATCAGAAGGGGCCGGGGGTGGCATGACGGGCGGTGGCCGTCCTGCAGCTCCAGGGCAAACCCACACAGGGAAAAGAGTCTGACTGCCACACAGCCTTGGGACCTTAAAGGCAGGCTGAACTTCCTGGCTTGCCATCCCAGCTCTCTCTTGTACGTGGCTTTAAAGTAGACTGAATTTTCCATGCATGCAGCTATTGGGGAAATTAAGGAAAGACTGATTTATCAGAAGTCGTTCGCCGTTTCAGAAAGCCGCATCACCAAGGCGACACTGCTGGTGGCATTTGAGTTGCCAGAACAACACACCTGTGTCAGTCTGCTTTTGACACTGTTGTGTTTGCAACAATTCTATGTTTAGGCGCAAACATCTGACCACTGCCGTGAAGCCATGCCCGCGCGCTGGGACGTTAAATGACAGGCCTTTGATATCATAAGGTACTTTATGCCACCTCCTTAATTTTATTGTTAGGGCTTTACACTGGATAGGTTATATCCATGAATTAGCTTCTGGTTAGTAAACGAGGGCTTTTAAAAATATTTGTAAGCCGGGCGCGGTGGCTCACGCCTGTAATCCCAGCACTCTGGGAGGCCGAGGCGGTAGGATCACTTGAGCTCGGGAGTTCGAGACCAGCCTGAGCAAGAGCGAGACCCCGTCTCTACAAAAATAGAAAAATTTAGCCAGGCGTGGTGGCGTGCACCTGTAGTCCAAGCTACTGAGGCAGGAGGATCGCTGGAGCCCAGGAGCTTAAGGCTGCAGTGAGCTATGATCATGCCACTGCAATCCAACTGGGGAAATAGAGTGAGAGCCTGTCTCAAAAAAAAAAAAAAAAAAAAAAAAAAAATATATATATATATATATATATATATATATATATATATATAAGCCCAACAAAACAAACAGAAAAACACCTTATTAAAAACTAGGCTTTAGGCCAGGCGTGGTGGCTCACGCCTGTAATCCTAGCTCTCTGGGAGGCCGAGGCGGGCGGATTGCTCAAGGTCAGGAGTTCGAAACCAGCCTGAGCAAGAGCGAAACCCCGTCTCTACTATAAATAGAAAGAAATTAATTGGCCAACTAATATATATATATATAAAATTAGCCGGGCATGGTGGCGCATGCCTGTAGTCCCAGCTACTTGGGAGGCTGAGGCAGAAGGATCGCTTGAGCCAGGAGATTGAGGTTGCTGTGAGCTAGGCTGACGCCACGGCACTCACTCTAGCCTGGGCAACAGAGCGAGACTCTGTCTCAAAAAAAAAACAACAAAAAAAACTAGGCTTTGAGTCCGACCCAGGTGCCAGCCATTGAGGGGGGGGTGGGGACACGCACTACTGATAAATATCACTCGTCCTTAGAATTACCCATGTAAGTCGTAAGTCAGTTTCCCAGAGCTCTGCACTTGCCCTGGGCCACTTTCTGCCAAATTTTACCTCCTTGGAAGCAGGTTTTTCCTGCTGCTGTTGGTCAAACCACCTCATGGCGAGCATGAAATAGGGTCACCGGGACAGCTGTAAGGGATGAGGGCGTTTGGGAACATAGATCTGCGGGGACTCCACGCCAGACCGGTGTGTCCCTCCCTCATCACTGGGCAGACAAAGGCAGGGGACAAAGGCAGGGGATGGCTGCCCTGAGACGGCGCTGAGAGAGGCCCCTGGGCCCGGCTCCCAGGACGTGCTGGGAATCACACCCAAGCCTCCTGCTCCGCACAGGCAGAGGGTCCCCGACCGCCGGCTGGGGGAGGGGACCAATTCAGCTCTCAGTTACGGCAGGGGGGGCTCCGCGCCACACACGGAGACGCAGGCTACCCAGGTGGCTGGGGGTGACTGCAACAGAGCCCCGGAGTCCCGACACGGCCACTGTGTGCCCGCCCCACGCCCAGCGGAGAGCCACAGTCGCGTGCAGGGACATTCGACACAGTCGGGGCTTGGCTGCCCTCGGGGAGGGGACTGTGCCCATGCTCGGTAAGGCAGGGCCCCCACTGCCCGTCCCACCTCCCTGCTGCTCTTCTCAGGGAGGGGGTGCACTGGAGGCGGAGGTGGCGCCTAGGGGCAGCCCCTGGGGACAGAAACTTTCTAATCCCTCCTGGCGGACAAGGCCAGCACCTGCGATTCTGCATCCTGCAGCTGCTTTGGAGATTAAGTGCCCTGAGTGGGACGGGCTGCGGGGTGCCCGGAAGGCACAAGAAGGTGCCACCTCCCCTGGTGCACGGCCGCAGGGGCCCTGGGAGGCAGCAGCTCCCCGAGGACCAGCTTCTAGCCCGGGGAGCCTCCTGTGCTGGTCGGGGGCGAACCAGGCGTCCAATCTCCGCCAGCCAGGACAGCCCCGCGGCCTCATGCTGGCCGCCAGCTCTGGAAAGGGACGCGCAGGGCAACAGAGCCCCCAAGCATCCGTCCCATTGAGAGGGTCGCACCGTGCCCTGTGTCCCACGGCCGGCCGAGGCTCTCTGTCTTCCTGTTCCTGGAGCTGAGGGCCATCTCCAAGGTGCAGGGGAGCCTGCAGGCTGTCCCCAGGGAACTCGCGCAGGGAAAAGGAGTGGCTTGGGGGCAGGGGCTCAAAGGGACGTGAGGCTTCCGACAGAGCCTCTGTCTTCCTGCCCGGGGGCTCCGGGGTCTTGCTGGGGTTGCTCAGTTTTGCTCAGGCGTGGGAACTTAGGAAATTGCAGGATGCGAAGGTGGGCAGAGGCCACTGCCACCGCAGACCGAGGGGCCACCAGGAAGAGGACTGGATCCCACGGGGCTCCTCAAACACACTAGGCACATTCCCACCTCGGGACCTTTGCACGGGCTCTTCTCCCTGCCTGCAACACGCTTCCCCACACAGCCCCCGGATCCTCTCCCTCCCTTCCTCCAGGTCTCCCAGCGTGGCCTTCCCAGTGAGGCCTGCCCCGGCCTCCCTACGCAGGATGTCCCCGTCCCCAGCACTCCCGATCCCCTTCCCGACATCGTTTATCTCCTCGGCACGGATCACAGGCGTACAGTCCCGCGTGGCTCACAGACGAGGGCACATTCTGAGACGTGCATGTTAGGCGATTCTGTCCTTGTGCAAACATCATGGAGCGTCCTTGCACAGATCTAGACGTTTGTAGCCCGCGACACACCTAGATTCTGTGGTCTAACCGATTGCTCCTGTCACTGCACTGCACACTGCTGGCAGCTGCAACACCATGGGCAGTGCTGCGTAGCTAAACATCTAAACGCAGAAAAGGCGCAGTGAAAGTACGGTGTCATAGTCCTATGGGACCCCCCGCGTACATGCAGCTTGTTAATGGTGAGACGTTATGCAGCACGTGACCGCACAACATGTCTGACGTGTTCGTCCCCACCTCCCTGTAAGCCCCCCGAGGTCAGGGCCTTTGTCTATTTCATTCATTGCCCTACCCTGACCCTGAGCCTAGAACAGAGCCTGGCACACAGTAGGTCCTCGATGAACGTTTGTTGAATGAATGAACGCAGGGGCCTGGGGAGCTGCCTTAATCCAGGTCGCCGGGGGCTTCCTGCAGAGCTCTGAGTGCTCTTGGGACACTCAGGGGTTCTTGCGGAGGGGGTTAGGAAGTCTCGGCCTAGATTTCTGGGGGTCCCCAGACCGGAGCCTCCCTCTGGGTGTGCCCAGACCCACCCTGGCAGCATTGGGGGCGGGAGGGACCCGGCCAGACCCACGATGAGAGTGGAAGGGGGCGCAGAGAGAAACTTCTCTCTCTCTCTCTGTTCGATCTCCTGACCCAGCATCCTCCGGCCACCTGGCCCAGCTGCTGATTTCCCCCCGGAGAGCAGCAGCGCCATCACCCACGTGTTGCCAGCTCTCTTCCCCCCCTCCCCCAGAGAGTCAGAAAATGCCAACCTGGCAAACCCAGGGGGCTGGTACCCAGTTCTTTAAGTTCTAGCCCCGGCTCCCACCTAATCCAAGCACGACGGCCGTGTCTGGGACTCAGGGCCGATTCTATACTTCGGTTCCTCCCTCCCCTTTTAGAGCCTTCCTCGTCCTCACTGGCCGCGGCACGGAGAAAGCGGCTTGGGCCGGGGCCGCCCGGGCTCGGCGATTCCCTTTTCTGTTCCCAGGGCCTTGCCACGAGCCACACGCGCAAGGACACCACGCACCTACGCACCTCTCACTCGCTGGCGACCTCAGGAAAGGCCCCTGCTCTCTGGGCCGTGTCGTCTCACCTGTGCAACACAGGTTGCAAAAATACCCGCCCCGTGGGGCCCCTGGGGGATCTCACAGGACAGGGATGGGAAGACGCGCTGCCTGCCACCATGACTGTTAGCTAGCCCGGGGCGTCACAGCAAGATACACAGCCGGAAGTCATGCACAGGGCACTGTGCGATTGCAGCTTCGCGTGACGATCGGGGCAGGTGGAGTGGACGTGCGTGTGCGGGTGGCGGTAGTCTCGGCGCTCACGCGTGCACACTCACACACACACACACGCGAGCACCTGTGGGCTTACCTGTCCACCTGGACTCCCGTGTCCTTCGTCTCTGCCTTGGCCGGTCCCCCGCCCTTGGCCCCTTTGCTCCCGCCGGCGAGAAGGCTCAGCACGGGCTCTATCTCTTTGAGCAGCTCGTCGTGGTCCCCCCTGCCTTGGAGGCCGGCCCTGGCTGCTTTCTTGGCAGGGTCCTGGCCTGGGGGCGGGGGGGCCGGGCCGTTGGCATGGGGCAGAGAGCCGGCTTCCTGCCCGTCGTCTTGGGCGTGCTGAGGGCCGTTCCCGGGACCTGGGGTCCCGCCCGCCGCCGGTGGCTGCTCTTTGCTGGCCGAGGGCTGGTGGGACAGGTCAACGGCCCTGGCGGGAGGCCCCAGGGGCTGGGTCACCCGGATGGTCTTGGGGGTCCCGTCCCCGGTGAAGGTGGTCTCCAGGTGTGTGGTGAAGCCCTCGGGGCCCCTCAGAATGAGGACCACGTGGGTCTCGGCGGCGACGCCCCTCAGCACCTCCAGCGCGCTGTCGTAGCTTAGGTCCACCAGGGGCCGGCCGTTGACCGCCAGGATGATGTCCCCGGCCTGCACGAGGCCGCTCTGCTCCGCCGCGCCCCCTCGAATCAGGTCTGAGATGATCACGGGGGGCTTGCTCACCCGCTCCTTCACCAGGAAGCCCAGGCCCCCGACCTTGCGCTTGAAGAGGCGGACGGAAATGACATTGGGCTGGATCTGCTGCACGCCGACCACGGGGTCCTCCATGGCGGCTGGTTGCCAGGGGCCCGCCTGGAGCCCCCCGGACGAGCTCGGGCCGAGGCGATCCCGCCCGGAGGAAGCGGGCTTCAGGCTGCGCCGGGAGCCGGGGGCTGCGGAGCTTCGGCCCTGCCCGGGTCTGACATCAGCCCGGCGTCACCCACTCATCGCCGCCGGGCCGTCGGTGGCATGACTCCACGCGCCGCCTCCCGCCCCCCTCTCTAAGCAGGCGACGGTCGGCCGGGCGGACGTCAGGGGAGCGGTGGGACGTGTCCCCGAGCAACAGGTCAGGCAGGACGGGAGGAGAGGCGTCTGGCGGATGTGTCTAGAGGTGACGCGTGACGGATGTGAACTATTCCCTGGGCATCTTGATCGCTAGCCGGTCAGACGCAGATCAGAGCTGGGGCTTCCCGAGCTGCAGAGAAGGAAGAAGAAAGAGGATGAAAAGAAAAGGAGAGAGAGAGACAGAGAGGGACTGAAGTGGGGTGTACACCGCCACCTTCCACACGAAGAGGGAAAACGCAGCCACCGACACGGTCGAGCCACAGGACCCTAACTCCGGAGCTTCGAAGCCAGCCTGGAAACGAAATCCTTCTTCCAGGATGGGGACACCCTTCCCAGTTAGCTGCCAATGGCCTGCTTTCGCCTCCTCTATCAAAGCCCTCAGAGACCAAGGGGTGTCCCTGGGGGAGGCACAGCGTGGACAGTCAGCCACAGACACCGAATGACAAAAACCGTACGACCTCTCTTCTCTCTCTCCCGCCCCAAGGAGCCGCCACTCTGCCCTGCCAGCTGGCCTCACGCCCCGTGTTTTGCACGCACGTCCCACTTGCAGCTTGGGAGCTTAGCTGGCACAGGTCTCTGGAGTCTCCATCCCAGTCCCCACGACAAAGAGGGGACCCTTCCATGAACCCGCCCAATGAGGGATGCCAATTGGCCTTCATGACCATGTTTGTGATTATTAGCTTGTTCCAAGTTCAAAAGGACAAACGTGGTCACACTGCAGACATCATAAACACCAAAGAGATGGGTCTACGCAGAATCCTGGAAGCCTCTTGTGCTCCGCAGAGCACCTGAAACCCTGGTGGAGAAACGTTAGGAAGAGTGGGTGCCGGACCCCTGGGGTACACAGGCACATAGTAGGTGCTCAGTGAACATTTGTTCATTGAAGACGAAAAACCCTCAAAGGCTAAGCACAACAGACACCTTTTGAGCACTTTCACTCTTAACACACGGGTATATTTTTTCTCCTTTAATCCCCATAATAGTCTCTCAATAGACAAAGACGCTGAGGCCTGGGAAGGTCTAGGAGCCTGCCCAAGGTCACGGACAGAATAAGGGCAGAGGGAGGCTCTGACCTTCCGTCGGCTCCACTCTCCAGCCCGGGCTTTCACACTTACCCTCTGGCTATTTCAAATTCATGTTCTAGATGTTTTCTCAGGTCCTAACATTTTCCCTGAAACGCCGGCAACTTCCGAGCCACGGACTCCCGCCAGGCCCAGGGAAACGGGGTGTAGCTGGGGTACCGAGAGCCAACAGGGGCCCCGCTGGAGATGCTCTGTGGGCCAGGTGAGCGCACACACCTGTCCTCGGGCTGTGTGTGTGCACAGGAGGACGCGTCTGGGTTGGGGCAGGTGATCCGTGGGTGTGGGCGGGGTGGGGGCATCAGAGAGCCCCCCCACCTCTTTCCCATCCCCCACTCAAGTCCCATTTCCGTCTTCATGCCAGCCCCCCTCCCGCCGTGCCCTCACCACACTCGAACACAAGGAGGGAGCCCCGACCTGCCACCACTCACAGCCGCCACTCACTCCCTTGTCCCTTACAGCGACTTCCCAGGGTCACCCCAGGCCGAGGCGGCTGACAAACTCCCGCTGCCTCTGAGAACAGGAGGTGGGTGTGGAGACCCCCTCCCGGAAGGAGGTTCCACCCCCTGGATCCCCTTGACGGGGGTGGGGGGCGTTAGCAAGTTCAGCGCCCCCCCTGCAGCTTGCACCTGCATTACGCAACTCCGCCAGCCCCTCGGTGTGGGTGAAGCAAACACGGATCCCCCGCCCAGCCGGGCTGCGCTCTCCATCTGGCGTCTCTGTGTGTGTGTCTCTGTGTGTGTGCATCGCCCTCGTGGCCTGTCACTTCTCTGCTGTGTGTGGCCCGTGCACGCACCGGCTGAGTGTCTTTCGGCGTCTGCTGCGGTTCTGGTTTGCAGGGAAACCATCTCTTCCACGTACCAAACCCAGGATGCTCACTCTTTAGTGGGAGGCAGAGACAGCGGGCGCCTCCAGGGCTCTCCTGGCTGTCCAGTTTGGCACCGGGCTCTGCTCTCTAATGAAAGAAGGGACTTGAACATGAACTCTTGGGGAGGTAAGGTCCCCCCACCAAGAGTTCACGTGTTCCAGAGACTGGCTCGGGCCAGTCCTTCCCGAAGGACAGAAACTGGATTTGGCCTTTGGTGCACTTTGCTTAAGAAAAATAGAAAACAGAAATGGCTCCAACCTCAACAAGCCCCCGGCTACTCTCAGCATGTTCTAAACCACTCCCAGCGAGTCCCTGTCTCCCAGCTGCTGTCTAGAAGCCGGGGGTGGGGGTGGGGGGATCTTGGCTGATGCTGGGGACACGGGGGTGCCGTTTCTCTCTCAGACCTCGGCCCTGGAAAGGAAACTTTGGAAGGAATTGGAAAGCAGCTGGGCTGGGTAGAAGCAGGGACAAGGACTGTTTGCTGAGGGACAGAGACAGAGAGAACCACCTCTGTGTTCTCAGGGTTCGGAGCACCCTCTGTTGTCAACCACAGTCTTAACGACAACTCCACGGCACGCACTTTGTCTCTCCCCTTTTCCTGCCCAAAGAATACCCTCATCTACTATCATGCTTTTCATCCTGGTCCTGACCACGGTCAGGTTCGGTCGTCTGCGTTTTAAAGACGCATAAATTAAGCTGCTACAGGGACAACCACTTGTGCCGGTTTTCGAACGCCCAATTTCCACGTGGCACTCGGGGACGGCTAGATCCCCTGCTGCCACAGGGAAGATGTTTCAGGTCCTCCCTGGCTCTCTCTGGGTGAGTTCCTTATTTGCTCTGAACCTCAGTTTCCTTCTCTGTAAAATGGGATCATCAGTAATCACCGGGTAAGGTGGAGGGCAAAAGGAAATAGCAGGTGCAGGGGACTTAGCAATGTCACAGACGGATGCTCAAAAGGGAACAGCCCAAACGGGCCCCCGCCTGCCACTGCGTCCTGGCTGCGCGACCCTGGCCCGCCACCCCCACCCCGCACTCGTTTCTGCAACCCCAGGAGCGGGCCGGCAGCGGTGCTGAGCGGGAGTTTACGTCGCGCTGAGCATGGCGCCCAGGCCCTCTGCACGGGTGCCTCATTCGATCTTTACGGCCCCCGTCTGCAGCGCGTGCCATTTTTATCCCCACGCTAGGGAGGGACGGGAGAAGTGAACCCAGGAGGTCGCCCCGGGGCTAAGCGAGTGATTCTGAGCAGTGTCTGTCCTCAATCACGGTCCCAGTAGCGATCTCACAACACTATGTCTTCCTCCTTTTCCTCCCCAAGGCACGGCCCCCTCTGCTGATCTGGGTCACGTCTGATCGCGCCCATTTTGCAGATGAGGAAATGAGGCCCCTATGGAGAGACCCGCCTGGCCTGGCCTGGTCTGCCTGCCTGCCTGCGTGCGTGCGGCTTTCCATTGCTAGCACTGAAATCGGGGAATGTTAGGGTGAGGAGGAGCCCTCGAGATCTAGTCCATCCGCTACATTCAAAAAATGAGGAAATAGAGGCCCGGAGAAGCGACGGGCTCATTCCACAGGGACTGGCCCCGGCTGGGGCGTCCAGAGCTGGGCCCTCGGTTGCAGCAGCTGCTCGCCACATGTGGCTGTTGGGCGCCTGCACCTCGGCTGGTCCCCCTCGAGATGCGCCGTGACAGTGAAATGTACAAGAAAAAGAACTCGAGCGTCTCAATAATGTTTAAATACGGATGATTGCACCGCTGTGGACGTGTCGTGTCAAACAAAAATTATTGTGAAAATTAATTCCCCCCGTTGCTTCTTAACTTTTTTTAATGCGACTGTTATAAAGTGGTACATTACCCACGTGGCTTGCCTTATACTGCTGTTGGGTGGGGGGAGGGGGTCTATGCAGTCCAATAGCAGGATCATTGTTCTGCCCTGCATCCTGTCGTCTCTCGGTCCCCTGGGGAAGCTATGACAACTTAGGCAGAAGATACTTCCTAACGTTTCACCTTCCAAAGAAACCAGAAAAATGACAAAGAGGGTTTGCAAATATTTCACCACATTTTGAGGTTGACCACTGGGAGCAGGCTTGGTGCGGTAGGATTGAGAGAGAAAAAAATCCACCTAGGCCACATGAAGAGAGGTCAGAGTGGGATGTTACCTGGACTAACAGTTGAGAGTTCGACATCCTGCCTTCCGAGTTACCAGCTGAGACCTAACCCATCTGTATAAGGAATGTGTCATCCAAAAGGATGAGGCAGATGTCTATTTACAGGTAAAGAAATGAGCTCCCAAGAAATACCATTAGGTGACAAAAGAGAGGTGCAAATGGGTAAATTCTGTACCTGTCAATGCAGAGATTATTCTGGAAGAAACGGATAATAATGGTTGCATCTTACGAGGAATATTAGAAGTCAGAAGTAGGAGGGAGACATACTGTGCACTGAATACCTTTTTTTCCCCTATTTGAATGTCATGTAAATTTCTTCAAGCACACGTGTATTGCCTTTTCAATGAACGATATTAAAGAAAACAAAACCGGGCCTGTGAAATCCTGGCTGCTTTCAGCCCGCACACCCACAAAATCTCTGATGCAGTCACAGCCCCGTTTCCTCTCTCCCTCCGATCTCATTTGAAAACAAACTCCAAGTCCTCCACGTCTTTAAAAACAAAACAAAATACTGCCACCTCCCCCCCAACACAAACAAAAGACTGAAAAGCGTAAACCCAACTGTGCACCTCTTAAAAAACAACAACAACAACAACAAAACAACCAACTCCCTTATATGTGAACGGCTAATTTGCACTCTTTCCTGGAGGGATCGCCGACCGGGAAGCCGGAGGAGGTGGGTCCTCCCACGCTGCAAGATCGTCATGGCTGCAAACCCGCCAGCCCTGCCCCACTCCAAATCAGGGGGGTAGGTTGGCATTCCGTGCCTTTGGAGAACCCAACGACACACAAGCAGCCTGGTCCAACAGAACCTCCCTCGCTGCAGAGTTCTGCAAGTTTCATGGCTACAGTGTGCCCAGGATGACTTTGATCCTTCCGGATCTCATGCTCACATCTCAGGGGTAGGAACGGGCTCAGTTTAGATTTAGCAGCACGAGCACTAACGAGTCTCTAAAATCTGACGGTACACCCTGGCGCCGAGGGTTTGGGATATTTGCACTCTCCTGCATTGCTGCTTGGTA